TGAATGAACAAATCTAAGCATAATAAAATAGAAACATCTCTTTGCTGTAATGTTCACTGAAACAATAATCTATGTAGCTATTAGGGAGGAGGTCTTATTTGAGGGTTTTTTTTTAACAAGTAGGTATAATTTCAATGACTTCTTAAATGTTAAGAAAAGGGAAAATACGAGAAGTATTCTTACAAACAGCTGTAAGTTAATGAGAATTTATGACAACCTAAGATCTTGTATAAAATTCTTAGTCTATCCAAATACTGAAAGCTTTTACTGAAAACTAAGGAACTGAGCAGACATTTAGACTATAGACTATATGTGGAATTTTTTTTTATATGAGAATTTATTTCAGAGCTGTTTTTTCCTCTGGCTTGCTTTTAGGGAGATCCCAGAGAATCATGAAGGCAAATCCAACCTGGAAGAAAATTAGCTCTTATAAAATCTACTTTTCCCAAGTAGGCCTAAACATTCATTGATGAATGGGTGAATTTATGATTGGTTGGCTAAGGAAGTAGGGGGTGAGGATTCTATTATTTTTAAAAATTTATTTATTTATTTATTTATTTGAGGCAGAGCTAGAGAGAGAGAAAAGACAGAGAGAAAGAGGTCATCCATCCACTCATCCAGTCTCCAAATGGCTGCAACGGCTAAGCCCGAGTCAGGTTGGGAGCCAGGGGCCCAAACACGTGGGATATCTTTTGCTGCCTTTCCAGGTGCATTAGTGGGCCTGGATCAGAAGTAGAGTAACAGGAATTTGAATAAACACCAATTTAGCATATTGACACTGTAGGCAGCAGCCCAACCTGCTAAGCCATAGAGCTGTCCCCAAGAACTCACCATTTAGCCCACAAAAATGTGGAAAGAATTTTCAAGAAGCTTTCTGAAGACTCAATTCTGACTTTAATATTAAAAAAAATCTTATATTTCATGGACATCCTTGTTCAAGAGACTAAACTCCAAAGATCTTTAGTTAACTTGTCTTCGGGACTAAGTAACAAACTCAACTTTCAAATGTATTTTTTTTCTATGATCTATGTTTACTTAAGAAAATGATGAGTGGATACACAGTCCCTGTGCAGGAATTAAGTCTAATTTTAACACTGGAATAATTACTCCAAAATTAAAATTTCATATGCAATAATGTGCTCTATAAAATATTAGCATCAAATCATACAGGCAAGAATGGAATCATAGCCAAACTCCATTAAGGCAGATATGAAAAAATGCAAATACCTGAACTGTCAAGTTCTTCCCTTGCATCCTTTTAATAGATATACAGAAAAAAAAGAAACAAGGAAGCAACTTAATAAACCCAACAAGTGCAGATACTGAAGTAACGAAACATGTTTGTGTTTTGATAGCGGTGGAACAAGGTCCTGGGAAAATATCAGAAGAGGTGGGAGGTGAGAAAGGACCACCCTGCAAACATGTGAGGCATTTCAGGTGGTGGCAGCAGACCCTGCACTTGCATGACATGAAGATCAAGTGCATTCCTTACTGTTTGACTCACTGGCTTCGTCCTCTTCTTGGTCCTGAACCAGAAATCTATGGGGGAATTTGAGCCTGCAGCGTTTAAGTTTCAGAAAATGTCACTTGAGGGAGTATGACGGGAAATGAAATCAGAAAGCCAGGCAGGAATCAGAGGGTGAAGGGACTTATAGGCCACAATTAAGAATTTATTTAAATTAAGGGAAAAAAATAAATCTCACTGAAAAGCAGAGAGATATACACAGGAACACAGGAAAAGAAAGAGACAAACTTACACACACATCTTCTATGCATGTTCCACTCTCCAAGTGCTGACTATTTAAATATGTTAAACAGCTAGGGAGGACATTAAGGTAAAGAATACTTGACTTGTAATTTAAAAAGTTCATTCTAAGGGTTGTATCGATAAAAAATTGAAAGACGTTTCAAGTGACAGCAGGAAGTTAACTAGAAGGCAACTGGATTATGTAGAAAGAAGTAGAGAGATACGATGACTGAAGAAGGGCTCAAGTAAAAAATACCCAGGTGGTATTCAATCATCTACAGCACATTTAATTTAAAAAGGTAATGAAGGAAAGTTGGAAAAACAGATTTCAAAAGCAATTTAGAGTCTGAGAAACTGGTTGCCTGAGGACCCTACATGTGCCTTTTCTTCTTAACTCTTCAAATTCTTCCCAGCCATGAACTACTATCTCCAGGGAACTACTTTTGAAGGCCTATATCAGCATCTTTGTTGCCTCTCTAATTTTGGGGTAAGGATCTTTGTTCTTTTGTGTAACTGCAACATCTCCAATGGGAATTCTACTTATTTCCTCCCTCCATCCTTTCCTGTCTCCTTGAATCCTTCCACAATGAATGAGTGTATAGTATGTGTGAAGCATTCATTGTAGACATTTGTGATGCCATCTTTAAAAAATGGAATGCTTTTTGTAGTAAAGTTGTGGTCCCATGGAGTGTGGGACAAGCTTTAATTAATGTACAAAATTTTAATTAACAAATGTTTAATTAAAAGGTTGTCATGTGTTGTGAAGGATGGCCACTTGTTGCTCTGGTGGAACATGGCAGGATTTCCCCAGGCGGCAAAGCTGAACTTACCCGGGAGCCTGGAGAAGTGGGATATCTATCTATCTATCTATCTATCTATCTATCTATCTATCTATCTATCTATCTATAGAGAGAGAGAGAAAAAGAGAGAGAGAGAGAGAAAGAGAGAGAGAGAGAGGAAGGAGACCTTGTGACAATCCTGGTGTCCATCTTCATGACAAGGTGAGGATGGCAGGAGGACTACTGAAGGGTCCCTGACCTTGATCACAGATTCTATGTGTAAAGCAGCTCTCGTTGTCTGCTGTGTGGGACGTAGAGTGGCAAGGGCAGGTGTCAAGGGGGAGCAGGGAGACTGTTGGAGGTGGCATAATCCCAGGTAGGAGAGGCTACTTGACTTTGGGAGTATGGGAAGATTCTAGAGAAACTGTAAGAGACAACTGGACACATGGTGGGGCTCTTTGAAGGGCGAAGAGCTGTGCTGGAGGGTATGTGGAAACGATCATGCTCAGAACATACTCTGCTGCAGAAGACTCATGTGGCATGGGGTGCTGATTTCCAGGACCACCCTCTAAACTGAAGACTTCACAGTGAGACCACAGCACACTCTATAACCCGGCAGAGCCCACACCTGAGTTGTTATTACTGGTAGAAATAAGCACCAAATTAGCACCAAAATAAGACCATGGGACCTAGGCAGGTTATTTCAATTATCTTTGCTTCAATTTCCTGATCAATTGCAGTCATAGCAGTTCCCAATTGATAGAGCGGTTATAAGGATTAAATAAAGTAATTCATACTTAGCACAAGGCCTGACACATAGTAAGTGCTCAGCAAATGTTTGTTGCTATTTTATTATTATTACAGTTACGGTGACCCCCCTCTCATTAAAAGGAAGTAAGGGATGAAAGTTCAGCCTAACAGAATATTAACAATGCACACCAGAGTCCCTGGGTTCAATTTCTGACTCCAACTCCTGACTCCATATCCCTGCCAATGCAAACACCGGGAGAACAGTGACGACTCAGGCTAATACTGAGGTGGGAGGCCTGGGATGAGTTTTAAATCTTCTAGGCAGATCACTATACTTTCAACACAGAACAAGATTTCAAATGTCCCATTCACACACATAAAAAGGACTAATGCCATGTGACTTACTAGCTGAATATTCTGAGTTCAAGCTAGACTCCAGCTGCTTTCACATGCTTTCTGAAGGCCACATTGTTACCACTAAGAGTCTGCTGAAGGTGAGCGGTGTTTGTCACTTGCAGAGAAAATACAGTATCATTTCACCTGCAATTAAGGTAGTTCAGACATCCAGACATCCAGAGGCTCCACGACCAATCTCCTTCAGAACTTCATTTCATCATGTACTTCAAAACCGGGTCCTCCAAAGCCTCCGAACTCGTGTCTACACCTGCTCATCAGAGGCCAGCAAGGACTCAGAGTACCTTTGTCTCTAAACAAGGGTCAAACACTCATTTCTCCTCCCGTAAAACATAAATGATAACTCATATTAGTAACAAATTAAATATGCTTTGCAAAATGGCTAGGAAGGGCTAAACAAACATCACTGCATAGGAATAAACAGCTTTCTAAAAGACAATCAATCTTGAAGGTCCTGCTTTTCAGTGCTTTCACCTCCTAGAGAGAAGCTGCCGCAGCCGTCAGCCAAGACTCACTCAGCCAGGGAGAGGCAGGGCTCGCTTTCGGGGTGCCCTGTCCAGTGCTTTTTCTATCAGACTACATGATAATGTTTATTCATGTTGTTTTGTTATAGCTGGTGTTTCAGAAGATGAGACTAGCATTATTTGTATAAAAAGCCTGACCTGGCCAAGCTGTGGTAACCTTATCAGTGGAAATGGTTTACAAACAGTTGTGCTTGATGCCTCCAAATCAATTGAGAAGTTTTGTAAGGGATGAAGCAATTCGCCATTACAATTTTCATACAATTAAATGCTTAGGGACTATTAGTCCGAGATTTCACACAAGGTGTTACCATGGAGGCAAATAAAACCGAATTCATAAAAAGGTTTACCCTGGACCGAGCACTTAACCATTACAAGTAACAATTCTTCCACAGAAAAATAAGGAAATTGGCTAAATGATCCCTCAAGTTCATCCGCAGAGTGCTAATATATAAATCTAAGTTCCATAAAATTTAATATATTTCATATGAAGCTCAAAGTTCTATTCAGTCGTAGTATTTGCAACACACAATATTATTATAGCTTAAAATCTAAACTCAGTCTTTCGGGATGACAGAAAGCTGATGAATGTCAAAATTTCATGTTTTAAAACTAAAATTGTCTAATACAACCACCTTCCTTCTTATCTGCCCTCTGATTGCTTTCATTGTACTTTTTTTATAACCAGAATTCTACATCGTGTGCTCTGCTTTACTCAGTGAATATTTATTTGAATCCTCCCCATTCAACATATCATTAAAATACATATAAAAGAAGGTGCTCACATACCCCATTACGATCCTCAAAGTATGCCAGGCTGCTTTTGGTCAGGACAAAGAAACGGACTTTAAAGTTTGAAGGGGAAGTTCTCCTCTTCTGTTGGGATTTCTTGATTAGCTGTTCTTCCAGAAGGATGAAGTTGTTCATGATTCAGTTCTAGCAAAGCATCACCGTGGAGCACAACCCGAGTAAACGGCTTCCAGCAAGGGACGCGGCGGGGAGGCAGCTGGTCTCGAGAAAGCGGCTCAGCAGTAACTGGTCTCCAACATTATCTTTCTATCAACATTCACCCAACCTCGTGGAGCCGCTAGTCTGATGTCAAAGACCGTAACCACATCCTTTCAAAATTCACCAGACTAAGAGGCACATGTAAAATACACACACACAGCCAAAAAGTAGAGACCCTTGGCTGCATGGTTTGGAAATGATATTTGAGAAAAAGTAGACTCAAAATGATACTAAGGATCAGAGTTTAATCTCATAGCTCTGGGTGTAGCCTATCCAAGAACAAGGGGTAAGAACACGGAAATCAATGGCAGGCAGTTTTGTTAGTTTCCTGTGGCTGTTGGAACAGACACAAACTTTGCACCTCGAAGTAACAAAAGTCTGTTACCTTATAGGTGTGTTGTTCAGATGTCCAAAATGGCTCTCGCTGGGCTATGGCCCCTTTCTGGGAGATCTTTAGGTGACGGTCTGTTTCCTGGGCCCCCATATTGCTTGGGTGTTGGTCCTCTTCCTCCATCCTCAAAGACAAGTCCTGCTCACCCTGTATCTCTGAAACCTCTTCTTCTATCTCTCTCTTTCACAACTAGGGAGCACAGTGATCGCACTGAGCCTTCCCAATGCGGGGTATCCAGGATAATTCCCCTACTTTAAGGTCAGCTCATTATAACCTATTCCATCTGTTTCCTGGGCGTCACATATTCACAAAGTTCTGGGAACGAGGACATGAGCTTTTTTAGGCAAGGCCATTATTCTGCTGTTCAGCACAGACTGAATTCCAGCTGTGAGACTTTGAGCAAATTACTTAAACGGCTCTGGGTCCCAGCTTTTTTTCCCTCTCTGAAAAGGAAGAACAGTGCTCCTACACAAGACATCAACAGGGCTCCTGTCTTGGCTTTCATTTTTATTCATTTTACCAGCCCCATCTGAAAGCCTGTTTATATTCCTTTTACCCAGATCCCTACCCCTGCCCCCAGCATGGCCTTCATGACACTTTGCAAATGAACTTGTAGTGCTTACTTTGCCAGGTTCATTCTAAATTGTACTGCACGCCCCAGTCTTCTTGTCTTTTCTTTAGGGAAGCCTGCTTGTCTTTGCTAAGTCTAAATTACCAACGACATACCCACAACATCACACACCTTTCTCTCGAAAATGCTTACAGTAGTTGGGAGGGAGATTCTGGATTCATGTTTGTCTCTCCATCTAGTCCAGATAACTCCATCATGCTGAGGACTGTGGGTGGTGCCTTTGCTCACTGTCATGCTTGTAGACTCAATAGACTCAACAGCCATCACAGTACCTGGAGATTCCAGAGCATTTGTCAAATGAATAACCATCCAATTGGAAAGGGTAATTGAAAGAAATAATAAGCACAAAACATGTATAAGTACATTGAAATATGTTATTTAAATATATATATATATGTATATGTGGAGAAATAACACTATATAAAAGAGGTGATTTCTTTCTTTGTTTTCTTGATTATGGGATTAAAAAAGAGATTGATATCTTTCCCTAACACTTAATGTTCACTTTTCCCTGGGATAACTGATTCTCTAAGGGTTATTTGGGCATCTGGTCAGCCAGAATAAAGCCACATTTTTTAGCCTCACTTCTAACTAGGTATAGATGTGGGTCTCCTTTCTGGGCAGTACAATGTAGCAGAACAGATTAGCAAAACTTCCAGAGAATGTCCTTAGTGGGAGTCTCAATTTTCTTTATTATTTTTCCTGCTTCCTATTGATCAAAATGTTGACATGATGGGTGGAGCTGAAGCAGTTCTGTTATGTCTTAAGGTAGAAGCTGAATGTTGAAGACCACAGAGCATAAGAAAGAGCCTGGAGGACTTGTGGCCATGAGTTTTCCATAGTGGCTTTGGTTCAGTTTGTTGAAAATAAAAAGAAATACCTGTTTCCTAAATTCCTACAAGTGAGAGTTTTAGCACTAGCAGCAAAGCTGCTAACTACTTTTGTGCCATTGTCTCAAACTGGACTTTTAATCTATCTGAACGAGTATTTGCACTTGGTTGGCTCATGCTAACGGCTTCACCGACTTTACAGCTCCGACCTGGGAAAACATTACTAGGGCCTGAGGGAATCTACTCGTACATGATTTATTCTCTTAATCACCTTTAAATCATAATGACTGCGATTAGTTACTAAAGCAACCTTGGATGCTCAATAGTTTCTCCATCATCTCCAGGAAAACAGAAATAAATGGCCATTGTTTGTTTTGACTCTAAGAAGTTTGGTACACAGCATTTCCACATTCAAGTAGGACTCACAGCCAAAGAGAACAGGACCAGCATTGTGGTGCAGCAAGCTACACTTCCACTTGTAATTCTGGCATCCCAAATGGATGGCAGTTCGATTCCCAGCTGCTACAATTCAATCTAGCTCCCCGTTAATGTGCCTGGGAAGACAGCTGAAGATGACCCAAATGCTTGGGTTACTATACCCATACTGAGAGACCTGGAAGAAGCTCCAGGCTCCTAGCTCTAACCTGACCCAGTCCTGGCTGTTGTAGCCATTTGGGGAATGGACCAGCAGATGGAAGATTCTCTTTCCCTGTCTCCTCTGTAACTCTGCCTTTAAAAAAAAATTAAAAAAAAAATCTTATACAAAGCAATTTAGGTATCAAAACGAATATTAATTGCAATAACTTGAAGACCAGCAAACCTGTTAAAATCATGAGCTCATAAGAAAATGTTACAAATGTATCCCAATCCAATGATAATTTTTAGAAGATGCTGAAGAACAAATTTGTCTTTCTGAGAACCATAAACAAAGGAAAAAAATAACTGATATATATTTTTTTGTTTTCCCTGAAGAACTATTTCTCAGTTTAGCAATGAAATATTTAATGAAGGAATGCCCTTCTCTAGAGAAGTTAATATATAAAAGAGTGACAGAACCTCACCAGTTTTCAGTCCTAAGGAAGCAATGGATGTGGTCAACACTCATCAATGGCTGTTAAAATCATTTTGGGGAAAAGCCAAAAGGAAGGCATATAATAGTCATGCGACTCGATAACACACTAATCAGTCTGAACATCATAAGAAGATAAGCCGACATTATATGTCTCCTGAGGTGATGCAATAGGAAGTACACAAAATCACCCACGCAGAAGTCTTGCTGAAAGGAAACAAAAAAAAAAATCAAGCATGAATCTAATCTAATTGAACCTCTAGATCACCAATCCAGATTTGCAGGAAATGCAAGAGATAAGAGAACATTGCCAAACAACACCATGGAGACATGACTGTTTAAGTCCTGAACACACAAATTGCTCATGACAACTGGCCAAGAATCTGCAACAAGTATGTTGGAGGAGAACATCTAGATCAAAGAGACTTCAAGAGACATGTTGAGTGTGTGAGGACCTTGGTTCAGAGCCATCAAATCAACAGCATAAAGATGAGACAGTTTAACGCTGTGTATCTGGTGATATTTAGAAATCATTCTTTTTAAATGAGTCTTGGATTGTACAGTAACATAATGGATTACTGATAACAAAATATCTGATATTTGTTTCACTATAATCCAGTGTAGGGGGAGAAATAGGCAAATAACTGTTTGATAATTGTTTAAGCTGGGACTTGTGTATGTGGTAGGTTATTATTCTGTTTTTCTTATGCTGATACATATTTAGAAGTTTTTTGTAATAACAAGTTAAGCAGGGACAGTTGTGGCTCAGTGAATTAAGCTGCTGCTTGGTATGCCCATAAAGTATACCAGAATTTCGGGGACTGAGCTCTACTTCTGTGCTTCCAATCCAGCTCCCTACTAATAGGCCTGTGAAGCAGTAGTTGAAGGCCCAAGTACTTGAGTCCCTGCCAACCAGGTGGGAGACCTGGTCGTGGCTTCAGTGTGGCTTGACCGCGGGTAATGTGCATATTGGGAAGGGAATCAATGGATGGATGATCTCTTTCCCTCTCTTTCAAGTAAATAAGTAAATAAATCTTTAAGCAATATGAAGGAGAGAAAGAGAAGCCAGACCAGTTAAGTATGATTATCAAAATTCCAAAGAGACACACACACACACACACACACACACACACACACACACGTGCTGTTTATTCCATCCAATGGTGCTACTGGAACAGCCGCTGTGCTTCCAGCTGTGCTTGCTTGCCATTGACAAATGGCCCCTTGTCCCTCAGGCACCGAATGAACATTCTTTCACCATTATATTTCCCCTTCTGAATGATGTCTACAACAGTTGTTACAGCTCCACGATTCTCTGAGGCTCATACTGAACTCACTGAATGGGCCAACTCTTGATTGCTTTTAGATCTGTCATTCCTAAAGAGAAGAATATGTTGAGTACAGAGAGATGAACGTACAGCAGTGCTTTTGTCATAGAAATTATCTGCATGCTTAACAAGGAGAGAAATGGAGATAGTAAAACACTACAGACCATAAAATGAATAAAGCTCATCTGCGATGAACTAACAGATATATTGCCAACACACGGGCACAGAATTATATGAATGGTATAATTCTGTTTTTATGAACAAGTATTTGGTGTTTCTATTAACGTAAACATATACAACTGAAGGGATAGAGTTATGCTTCAGTTTTTAATTTATACACTTTAAAATGATGTTGCGGGAAGATGTTTTATGATTTAAAATAAACTAATAGAAGCCTGTGTTATGGTAAAGCAGGTTAAATTACATCCTATATGGACCCTGGTTCGAGTCCCTCCTGCTCCACTTGCCCTGCAGATTGCTGCTATTGTGCCTAGAAAAGAAGCAGCAGAAGGCTGAAGTGCTTGGACCCTGCCACCCATATAGATCACCAGATGGAGTCCCTGGCTCTTGGCTGCGGCCTGATTCAGTCCTGGCCATTGAGGACATTTGGCGAGTGAGCCAGCAGATGGAAGATTCCTCCCTTTCTATCTTTTTCTTTCTGTAAACTCTACCTTTAACATGAATAAATAAATATTTTAAAATGAAATAAAATAACTATATATCCTCTGTCAGAAATCACTGGTTTATATTAGAAGACAGTGATACATGTGGTGGCCATGATCTCAGAGCTGAATTTTTAAATTATACATCACTTATACATTTCTGGTAATAGATGTAAGCTATATTCCTGGTGTAGAAACAAGGAAATGCACAAAAAATAAAAATTGGTAATCTCACCTCTGAGAGGTAGCAAATGCTAATATTTATTTTGCATACTTCTTGTTTGAGAGTTCAATTTACTAATTTAGTTGCAATCATTTTATTATTTTTTATTATTTTATTACACAGTTTAATAGG